TGGTTTGATACCAAAATCCTCAATCATAGATTTGAAGTACTGCATTGTGGTCTCCAATGGAACCTGGTTATCTGAACATGATAGTAGAAGGCTGAGAAATGTGATGCTATCAGGTGTTACATCTTTCATCGTCTTTAACTTCTCGAAAAGATGGATCACCTCCATCGTTTTGCCATTTTGAGCCAAACCCGAGATCATTGCATTCCAAGACACCAAGTTCTTCTTGGGCAATGACTGAAATATCATCTCAGCATAGTTCACATGGCCACATTTCGAGTACATATCGATTAAGGCGCTACCAACGACAGTCGATGTATCTAAACCACGTTTAGTTATGCAACAATGGATTGACGAACCCCATGTCAGTGCCGAGAGCCCTGCAACGCCGCTCAAAATGCTTGAAAATGTGAACTGATCCATGTCGACGTTGCACGAGTGCATCTTAGTGAAGAAACTCAAAGCCTTCCATGCTTCATCCCTATCAACATATCCTGTTAACACTGCATTCCAAGATGAAGAGTTTGGACTATCCATCGTTGATAGAATTTCTACAGCTTCTTCAATATCTCCAAATTGAGCACAACCATTTATCAGTTCGTTATATGATATAGTATCGGGTCGAGGCATCTGTCGTAAATAACTCGACGCCTGTTCTAGCCTTCCATTTCTAGCACTGGCTGCAATAACTGAATTCCATGAAATTGTATCCTTATCAATCATGTCATTAAACACTTTAACTGCCTCTTCAAAAGACTCGCATTTTCCATACATGTCAATCAAACAATTAGCAACAATGGTATTGTTTTCTAGCCCAAGCTTTACAGCTTTTGAATGAATCGACTGACCCAATATCAGCAAACCCAGCTGACCAGAGGCACTCAAAGCTGCAGACAAAGAATATGAATCCACGAGATTTTCAGACCCATCAAGCGCAATAAACGAAGACAAAGCATTGCGAAACTGGCCACAGTGTACATAACCAGAAATCAAAGAGTTCCAAGAAACCAAATTTGGTTGAGGCATTTCATCAAACACCTTATGGGCACTATCAAAGGACTCACTTTTGACATAGAAATTTACCATGGCTGTGCCCACGAAGACATTAGAGGCAAACCCAGATCGCAAAATGTAGCTGTGAAGCTGGCGACCACAGGAATCCCAGGCGTGGGTGGTGCAGGCTCGAACCAGTTGAACCAGAGCGTAGCCATTTGGGTTGCATTTGAGCGCCTGAAAGGCCTCGGCTAGAGCCAACTCGGCGGTGCGGCCGCCACCGGCAAGAACCATTCGGAAGCTGGTCCATGGATCTTGGTAATTGGTCGAGAAACATGGCTGAAAATTGCAGGCATTTTGAATTGAGATTGTGGCGGCAAATTTTTGGAGCAGTGGGTTTTGTGTTTGTAGGTATAATTGTAATTTGGTAGCGAAGGATCTTTGCATAATTTTGCAAATCAATTCCCCATCGCAAAATGCTCTAATTCCCTCGCCCTCTTCCCCTTTTATAGTGTACAGCCCCCCC